AGCTTATTGTTTATAACAAATTTGATAACTGTTACTCTCCATAGGCAGAGAGTAATGCAAACATGTCTACTTGAAGGCATGTATATCCCGCAAGTAAATGTAACCTTCATGATGGCCCGCCCTGTGTTTGGAGAACCAATTGTACTGTTGACGCTGATCAACATAACAAAGGGACTTGAAACATTTTATTGAGTTTTTACAGAAACAAATTTTTGACTATCATAACTATTGAAGATGTCATCTTTTAACACTCAAAGTTTCTTTACATTAACAATGTGCAAATTACACAATCTATTCGCCACAAAATGGGCTAAAATATTATGTCTAATTGACGTTTATGTGAGATGTTGACGTTCAGTTATGGCCATAAGAACATGGAGACGTTCATGAAATTTAGTCCATAAAGTTCAGTGGACTATACATATACAGCCCTCTAAGCTTGAAATTGTTTTTAGTGGCCCTTGGCTACCAAGTAAAATGTCTTATTGGCCAATCTAAATTTTTAGTCACCAAGCCAAATGTTTGGTTGCCAGAACTAGCTATTTTTTTGACTCCCGTGTGTAAAGCACACAATGGGAGTCTTTCCAGTTACCCTGCCTGTATGTACATTATGTATGTATGTATGTGTGTGTCTGTTCGTTCCACTGATATCTCAAGAACCATATGTTGGATTTTAATGAAACTTGGTGTATAGATGCTAATGTGCAGATTTGATTAGGATTTGCTTGAAATCCATGCAAAATAATTACCTGATTTGCATGATAATTAGCTAATTTTTAGCTGTTCCTTTACTTTTCCACTGATATCTAAAGTGCCATTCATTAGATTTTGATAAAACTTGATACATAGATGCTCTGGACTAATGTACAGATGTGATTAGTTTTTCCGTAAAAATCCATGCATATAATTAACCTAATTTGCATAATGATGAGTCATTTTTCGGCTTTTCCACTGATATCTCTGGTACTAATCATCACATTTCAATGAAACCTACATACATGCATAGGATGATGCAGACAAATATGTAAAATATTAATTACCTAATTTGCATAATTAATCAATTTCCAGCTTTTGATATTTCAAGTACTATTACTTTTCAATGAAATTTGCTATATAGATGCTCTAGAACAATCCAAAGACCTGATTAATTTTAAGTAAAAATGTATGCATATTAATCAACTAATTTGCATAATTAACCAATTTTCAGCTTTTACACTGATATCACATGTACTAATTATTCCATTTCAATGAAACTTGGTACATTGATGCTCCAGAACAATGCACAGACCCGCTCAGTTTTGAATTATAATCACATCATATTAATTACCTAATTTGCACAATAAATCATAATTTTCGGTTCTAATCAAACTTCTTACATAGATCTGTGACGGTGCTTATCTTAAATATGAATCTTAGTATGTATGTACTCTAACACAATGTGATGATCTAATTAGTTCAAAGTTTATATACATCTATAATAATTACTTAATTTGCATAATAATTTACTTTTCTGCTTTCCACTAATTTAGTTAGGCTTAAGCATCACATTATAATGAAACTTTGTACATGTACAATATACAGACCTAAATCTATACATAATAATTGTTTACCGTATTTGTCTTCAGTTAAGCGCCACATTCAATTAGACGCCAGTGCCACGAAAACATTGTATTTTACACCCCTATTAAGCGCCAGACAGAGTTGAAATTTTGGCACATAATGATCATCAATTGGATGCCGGAAGTCTCTCACTGTTACTGTACGATGGGCTTTTACGCAAAAAATTTTGTTTTGTTTCTAACAAATTTTAAGAAATCGGTCTATAATCGCTTGAAACATGTCTACTGTAGAAGTAGAAAATACTCGCATGGTTTTTAATTTACTGAATTTCGCAATCCATAAACACAAAATTAAAACTACGCAAAAATGTTCCGTTTCAAATGAGCTGTTATCACAGTAAACAGTGTTAAAATATTCCTTAAATGCTCAGTTTACTTTACAAAAATAACTAATTTCTTGATTTGAAAAAAAAAAAAATCATGCCGTTTTCCCACCAAAGCCAAAAGATCGCAAATATCGGCAAATCTCTTCCGTGTTGCGTTCATACATTATTTAAATGAGCTATGGTAATTTGATCACATTGGCATCAATGTTAATTAACGACTTGACCTGTCAAAGAACACATTCCAGGTCGACTGCACAGAAAGCATGGTGGATATTGTATTGCATCAAGCGTTTACATGCAACCAAAATCATTCGCTTACGATGAAATTAAGTTGAATTTTACTTGCATTTTATTTTTTGTACGTTATTATAATTACTACTGAGTAATAATCGTAACTGTGGAACGCAGCATGACCGGATTTCGCTACCATGATCATTTACTTCTAAGCGATGCATTTATTTTATTTTTCTGTTGATCGTACGGCAAACTGTGAATGTTTCTAAAGGATGATGATTTTTGTATAACTTTCTAGACTGCCTGAAAACAGGTCATTTACTTAGTATTTTAAATAAATGCTACAGTGACTAAGCGTCAGACTGTAATGTAAAATATTGCCAAGAATGGAACAAGAACAACGGCTTGATGAAACAGTTACCAGTACTAGAACTTAAAGTGTTTGAAATAAGCGCCATTTGAAAAAAAGTTGCCCAAATTTAACCACAAATAAGCGCCACCATGAAATGAAAGTGCAATAAAGTGGCGCCTAATTGAAGACGAATACGGTAATTTGTATAATAATTCATTTGGTTCATTGAGGTAATCCATAGACATGATTAGTTTAATGTTGATAAACATGCATATTGATGATCTATTATTAGCCCATTTAAAAAAATCAGATTTGAATTGAATTCATTGCAGAGATACTCTGGAATAAATTACTCTAAAAACCATGGATGAAAAATCAAATGTATTTTCTGTATGTATTATAAATTTTAATAATGTGAATTGCATTTTTTTCATGTTATGCATCTCAAATAACAGACAAAAATTAGTTGCCAGCTTTTGATATTTCAAGTAGTAGTCATCATATTTCAATGACACTTGGTACATAGTTACTTAAGGACTGTGCAGATCCCTGATTAGTTTTTGGGTAAATATTTGTGCATATTAATTACATTATTAGCATAATTAGTTTATTTTCTGCTTTTTGCCTGATATCTCAAGTAATAATAATCATATTTCAATGAGACTTGCTGCAGAGAGCTGATTAGTTTTAATTTGATATTAATTACCTAATTTGCATAATGTTCCACTGATGTATAAAGAACCACGAATTGGATTTTTATGAAAGTTTTAAAGAGAACTATGCAGAAACCCAATTAGTTTTTGGTAAATATTTATGCTTATTAATCACCTAATTAACATAATTAACACTGATATCTCAATTACTGATCATCACATTTGAATAAAATTTGGTACATAAATGCTCTTGGGCAATAGACAGGCCTGATTAATTTTGGGTTAAAATTTGTTCATATTAATTCTCTAATTAGCATAATAATTCATAATTTTTTTGTTCTGCTCTGTTCATAATAGTTACATAATTAGTTTTCAGCTTTTCCTTCAATACTCAGCTCACTGGAGTTCTTTCTAAGCTTTCTTTGATCTTTTATGTTTGTCTGTTGCTCCATCACACATAATACTGATATACCTGCTTTCCTTTGCTTTATTGCCGATGTCGCATTTCATTACTTCAGCGCCTGTTGCTACAATTTCCGCTCATTTTACATCATTTGCATACATAGTTCCCACGTCCAGTCCATTTTTCTTTTGTAGATTCAGCAGTGTACAAAACTTTGTAAATGGCTTTATTGACTTTGCAATACAGTACGCAGTGTTAATTTTTATCCTCAGGTCAGCGTTAGCTTGATCGGTGTTGGTAGTTGCTTGCCGCTCAAAACTTTGTTTTACTGTTGTTTTTATTTAAAAAAACACTCTCTACAGATGTTTTTTGCTTCGACCATGAATAGTCAATGTTTCTTTCTTAAACTTTGATGATCCAGTAACCATGTCCGTATTTCCGGCCTTGTCAGGAAAGGCACTACAGTAGATGCAGGTCATTACTTGTTTGACTTGATTGTACTTGACCCACGAAAACAGCTTCAACCAAGTGGTCTGAAATTTCCGAACACTACCAGTCGTACTCGTAGTGGATTGATTCTTCGTGGAAGGGCCTTCCGGAATGAGCTCAGCCTCAGTGCCATCGGCGGTTCGATAACGCTTTTCTCTTGAGGAAAAATAAGAATGAATGCTGCTTTGTTTCATTGTTCATTCGGGGTTCCGTGATAAAAATACAAGACGTACAGTCAACTAAAGTACTATGACAGCCTGCAGGTCCAGGAAGCGAAGTCGAATCGCGCATGTGTAGAATGGTGAATTGTGGGTATAATAGGTCAAGGGTCAGTTACGATTACCGACCTCCCTAACAGCACAACTATTTAGATATTTTTCGCACAGTAGCATTTTGGCGACCACGCAAATATTGTTATCGCCAGTCAAATAAATTAGTCGCCGTGGCGACCAAAATGATCGCACCTTTGAGGGCTGCTATATCTCCAGAACAATGAGCACATAAAAATTCTGAGACGCAGTTTCAAAGATCATTATCATATAAGGCAACAGTGAAAAGATCAGAAACATAGAAAAAAGGGACATCGAGAAACCGCCAATCCCACCAAAAAAAATCTATGTTAAGGAGGTTCACATGAATGTTTGTAACTTAAATCCCTTAAGCAAATATGAACACGAAACGTACATGATTGTATTCTGCTATATATCAGCTTTCTGAAAACATATATTGCCATAGCTGGATGCTTAGCAACTGGCGAGGAAAGTCCTAATCTTAATTAAACTATTACTTGCGTTTCCTTTCTCACTACCTTAAAGAAAAGTCTTCAGAACTGCACATCCTACTGTTTTTCTGTTCTTTGGTTAGTCTTTGTGTACTTCACACATTATAGGCAACCATGAATTATGTTGTTTTTTTCTATTTCAGGGGTGCATTGGTACTGAGTGACAATGGTGTATGTTGCATTGATGAGTTTGATAAAATGAACGAAGGTACAAGATCTGTCCTCCATGAAGTCATGGTAAGAGGCTGTTTTGCGTTAAAGTTAAGGTGGATATTCTTATCTTATTGCCAAGTTTGCTGAGTGACACAATTATTGCTATTAAATATTTTGCCCATTAACTACTGATATAATAATCAAAAACTTTGCAAAAAACAACAGAATTGAAGTTACTAATTTGTTAATGTCTTTTCCAAAGGAACAACAAACTCTGTCCATCGCTAAGGCTGGCATTATCTGTTCATTGAATGCCCGTACATCTATATTAGCGGCGGCTAATCCTGTGGATTCCCAATGGAACCCAAAGAAAACTATAGTAGACAATATACAGCTCCCACATACACTGCTGTCCAGGTAAGATGCAACAAATTTTGTGCAAACCAACTAGAATAATATGAGCCACAACTAGTAAAATTAACATTTGTATTATAACTGTGTGCATATTAAATTTAGTCTACTGGAAGTACAGCAACTCCTGGCTTGATGTAATTCCTTCAAGATGGCAGACTTATGACCTTTTTAGTGCCAGCAATGTTCTTACTTTAATATCTGGGAATGAATAGAATTTAGCAACAAATCGTGCCCAACCAGCCACTAATTCTGTGGCCACAGAAAATCCTTTCCAAACATACCAAAAAATTGTTGTTAAATAAAGTCATGCTAATTTGTCCCTGTTCAAAGTTTATGAAGATTTGTTTCACGGTTGGATCAAACATGGCCGACAGGCAGCCATTAGACGCAGTCCGGAAAGGAGACTTATGGATTGACCTCTGTGCGTGTGTTTATGCGTCACAACCTGTATCTTGGAAATGCCTGGACCAATCAAAATCAACTTCACACGTACATCATATATAATATTATACGTATGCACATCAATTTGTTTCACAATCTGAATCAAGATGGCCGAATGGCAGCCATATTTGTACTGAAAAATCATCAAAATCAAGCATTTCACGGCTGTTTAGATAGATTTTGTACAACCTTGGTATATACATTAGACATGGGACCTTGATGCACGTCATTTTATTTTTCAGATCGGATTCAAAATGGCTGACTGGCGGCCATTTTGTTTTAATGAATGGGCTTCTAGAGCCATATCTCTGAGATGCTTTGACTGATTACGTTCAAATTTTTAATATTCATTATACATCATGTTATAGATATATACATGTATTCAAAATGGCTGATTTTGTTTTAATTAATGCTGTTCCAGAGCAATATCTCTCAATATGGACAAGTACTCAATTAATGATCAGATACAAATGTCATTCATAATGTTAAACAATCATCATAATCATATTCCTGACATGGTTATATTCCAGCTATATTACTATAAACAAAACTATATATCTTAAGTTTTAACTAACGAGGATTGTGTCATGCATGGCTTGTTTTTTGAAAATTTAGTACCTTGTACATGCTTCATCAGTTTTTATTCAAATTTGGTTCATGCATTTTAGATTGCATGTCCATGACAATTTGTTTTACAATTTGATCAAAGATGGTCGACTGCTTTTTCACCATTCTACTATACCGTATTTATCCGGGTATAAGCCCAGGGTCTTGAACATGGAAAATTGCCAAAAAAAGGGGGTGGGTGTTTGCCAGGAGATCCCCGGCAAAAAAAACGAAAATTGACAACACGCAGATCGAACTGCGGCAGGGAATAGAACGGCAAATGAAAACATGCAACGGAAATAAATGAACAATATGCAACATTAGAAGTAAAACAAAATTAATGTATTGCTTATAATGTGACAAATAAACCAGAAATTAATGCAAAGAAATGACACAGACACACAAGGTTGGTGTGAAAACGTGAGGGGGGTGCAGGACTTCAGCGCAAGTGCCTTGGCGACCTGTCTCTTGAC